ACTATTTGATCATGTACCTCATTCAATAGAGATTTCACACTACGACTAAAACTCAACTCCACCTTCAAAAGTTGAGGAACTGACAAAATTAAAGATATGCCAAAGATTCCTTTATATGTCAGATATAACTAATATGAAAAAGCTAGCCTGTGACAATGTCTTGTACCCCATTTTAAATAACAGATTTCATCTTTCACTTACTATTACTTTTCATTGAATTGTAATTGATTTTCTGCAAAGTGCTTATCTCTATTGTCATCCATTTGTCTCTCTCATCAATAGAATGTGAGTTCCAGCATATTAGGGACTTGATCCATTTCATTTATTGCTCTATTCCCAACTGGAAAAATGTCCAATACATAAATGATTCCCCATAAGCAGGTTTGAATGAATGAATGAATAAAATGAAGATTTAAAGTAAGTTACATAAAATATTTGGCCTTAATTTCACAATTCCATAACTTCATGCAAGTATAAGGTTTAATTTTGATGACTGGAATTGCTATGTCTTCAGTTTCCAATATTATTATTTAATATGTAGACCTAAAGTTATCCCCTGGCTCAATAGCTATGTAGATTTTCTTATTCTGTTCTTTCCTTCTTTAAAGTGATCATTCATGGTTGGGCTGCCTTCTGGGGTTTTCTCATCTCTCTTTTAAACAATGCCAGGCACTGTTGTAGTTACTAGGGGTATGGCATTGAGAAGACACTTGTTCAATGAATGCTTTGCCATGTTATTGGCTCACACTTTCTGATGTAAAATGATATTCTTGAGTCCATGTGATCAAAACACGGAGTGCAAGGTCAGTACAGTGAAACAAAAAAGAAAATCAAGGCAACCCTGCCTATAAAGACAGGAGAAGAAAGAAGAGCCAAGATGGGCCCTGGAAAATGAGAATGAAAGGACAATCAGGCAATGCAACACATCCTGCCAGACAGAATATCTATGCTTCTCATGGATCTAGTGGACTCTAAGAGCCAATGGAACATACTGAGCAAAACCATCCAGGTACTACACAGTTGTTGCTATGAGGATTCTGTGAAAAGCCTTATCCAGAAACCAAAGAGGCAAAGTCTCCAACTGGAATGGACTCTGCACAACTGGCTACTTTCATATTAGCGCTGAATTACATGAAAAGAAAGTTGGTAGAACTGCTGTGGTGGGTATAATATTCTCATATATTCTATGGGCTGTGAACTTCTAGGGGAAGAGACTGTTTGGTTCTCTATCACTCCTGGTGTAAAGTCTGTACTTTGGGCAAACATTTTAGAAAAGGGCTAAAAACAAGAGAAAAGAAATTGGATCTTCTTCATCTTCTCAGCTATACCTAAGGACATGGAAAGAGGCACAATGAGAATATTCTCCTTCAAAACATGATTGATATAAATCTTCTCTATGGATTAAATGGCCAATGGATAAGACTTGGAAGCTTCCCCTCCCTAATCCCAGCATCAATCTCCCAAACATTAAATTTATAGCTCATAAATTTACACCTCTCACACAGAATAGCAACCAACAAAGATCTGAATTCTAAATCACTTCCCTGTAGGAAGAGTGTCTTTAAGGTCTCCCCAATAAAGCTTAAAAATACATATAAAGTTAAAAAAATGAATGTTAGAAGTTACATCAGGTAAAACTTTGCTTTTTTGAAGAAGTATGCAAATTTTTTCAACTTGGGATTAATCACATGAGCTTGTTGACATTTCAGGGCCAATATCAAGTATTTGGGTGCTACAGTATGGTGGAGGGTTGCCTTTTTTCAGAAGTTCCCTGGGCTGCTGCAGCATACTAACTGTGTATGAGGAGGGTTTCTTTGCATTCTGAAGGACATAAATGTGGCTGAAGACTAAACATTTGATTAAGGTCTGCAAGTGAAAAGGAAAAGCATACAATACTGTCCTCTCTGTGAATACTGTTTGTGTCTCCTCCTCAAAGTTTCCATAAAATGGCTGGGTTAATTTCCCTGCTTGGGGGGTACTATAGAGCAAGAGAGGTGGTTTCCCTCCGATAACACTGAAGAGCCCACTTGTTTTTTTCCTCTATTTATGTTTAATTTCCTTTTAAACAAATTATTTTTTAATAATTTTTTTTTTTTTTAATTTCAGTTCAGTAACATCCACTGTTACTTCATGCAAGAGAACCAACAGCAGGTGATGGAAACCCTGGTTTCTCTGGAATGCTGGGACAGCCTGCTGCTTCCAGGTCTGGGCCCCAGGTTGCTGAAGCCTTTGGTTAGTATGCCTCTAACAGCACAACCCTTTCTGGATTTCTCCTTACATTCACTCCAACTCTCCCCTCAAAACCTTCCCCAAACCTCATTTCTCTAAAGCAATTCTGGTTTGCACATCCTTTCCTTCCCTTACTCAAAATTGCTTATGCAACCAATGTTCGGTGGTTTCCTGTCAGTGAATCCCCAAGTTAGCATTTCTAAAATCTTTAAGGTTTTATCTATTTTATTATTTTTGCACCTTTCTTGGACTCAACATCAACTCAACATCAATTTCTCGATCTCCAGATCTGCTCCCGGATCAGCATTAATTGTTTGTTTCTCAAGTTGCAGAAAAAAAGAAAAGATATAAATGGAGAACTTTTTAACATAGAGTTTTTAAATCATGCACTAGAATCCTCACAGGCCGTAAGGGGCTTTCTGGCTTCTTCAGTAAAGGGCATAGGTGAACCTGTTCCCCAATCGCTCTTATTTGGCCTGTGTTTCCCAGACTTCCCACAGGGAGGTTTTCTGAGGTCCCAGGTAAAGGTTTAGGCATTAGTCATTGACTCATTGAGATGGGAAAATCCCGTAAAAGCTGGAGAAGCCTCACTTTGCAGAGTGAGAGTGTGTGTGTGTGTGAGAGTGTGTGTGCCCTGAGTTGGAGTCCGTGGGCGGAGCGCTCTTTTGTCCTGTCCTGCGCATGTTTAGCGCGCCATCTAGTGACTGAAGCTTAGCAGGGACGGAAGCTCGAGGTCCCAGGAAAACAGATGCCACTCAGAGTTGTAGTGGTTTTCCCTTGGTCTGACTTCAGGTGGCCCAAAGTAAAGTAGTTGTGTCTCAGTTTAACCAGTAGGCAGGTTCAGAATGTCCTGCACATTGTCGGGAGCTTGGTGGAAATGGATGAAAGACTTTAAGGACCTATTGAGAAAGGCAAAAAGTATAGCTACAAAAAGTACAACTACCTCAGAAAGTAGGACTCTAAAAGTGTAAATGCTCTGGATGAGCAAATAAATGAGTCTTCTGTGTAACGGGGTGCACAAAAATTGTTGAAGGAAAATAGATAGAAAGTGTGGGTATAGAATGAAAGAAAGGAGGCTGAACATAATACCTTGTGGATAGTTCTAAACCCAGCTTCAGACTTCAGAGCTACTACTTACCATTGTGTGGCAACAGGTAATTTATTTATTCTCACCAAGTCTCAGTCTGTTGGCATATAAGGTGAAGATCACCCCATTATCTCCTAGAGATGCCATGGGGGTTAAAAAATATTGAAGTGCTGAACCTAGAGCTTCACATGCTCTACAAATAGTTGTTGTTGATAATAGGGAGGGAGAAGATAAAGGAAAGGGGTAAAAAAAAAACATAAGGGAGGAGGGCCAGTAAGGGATAGTGTGGAACATATTAGAATATAATGAAAGAGGAAATAACATTTAGAATGTCCAACTAAGCACAAGGCATTTGATCACCTTCACAGGTAAATCCATGAAAGTGGTAACCATCCCTGACTCCATTACTATATTCACAAGGGTCTATTGAGCGCCACTGTAGAACCTTCTTTTTTGCTATCCCTGACCTCAAACTATGGGTCCAGTGCTCTACACTCAGCCCTCTTATAGGCCTTCCTCAAATCCTAGCTTGGAGCTTATTATGTGAAAGGGCAAGCGTGACAGGGGGTTATGGGGCTGATCAAGGGAAGCAACTAGGAATGAGATTTTATCCACTCAGAGAAGCCATTAGCATGGCTTTCCTTAAGAGGAGGTTTCCGAGGACCAGGGTCACCATTGTTGGTGGCAATTAATGCTGACTTGGAGAGACTGGAAGAAATATCCACATAACCCGAGTCAACTTCCTCCCCACTTAAAGTAGAATCCTTTGGAAGACCAGGAGGTAGAAGTACCAAAGTGCCTGAGGATGTCCTTTGGAACCTCACTGGATGATTTCCATACCTAAAACCTCTGGAGAGCAAAACATGTAATAGGCTCCTGCCTATTGTCCACTGATTCATGTCTTCCAGGGAAGCTGTTCCTCATCTACCATCTAAAGCTGGAACTCTGAAACTGGAGATCAGAATACCCATTCCCCAGTGTAACAAGCAACCATAGTCTCAGGGGACAGTAGTCATTGCCTGCATTTCTACCCTTTTACCAGCTTCCATCCATGCCAAGGAAAAGTTAGGACCAAGAACACAGTAATATAATTCCTAATTAGCATAATATAAAAACAACCTAGTCATGTTTTCCATGGGCTTTTCCAACCTCAAACTAAAAGCATGAAGTAGAGACAAAGAGATAAAAATATTCACTGGTACTATAAATAGATCTATACTGCCTATGTGTGCACAGCCAAGCACCCTGACCCAAATGAGTGTCTGCCTCTGGGAAAACCAAACAGCCAGATTTTTCCTTTTCCAAAGTTCAAAGTGAGAACAGACAGGAACAGACGGGCTGGGAAGGCATCCTGATTACTTGGTATGGAAGGGGTTAAGTCCTCAGTCATCCTATTCTAAAGTGATTTATGATGATGTGTAGAGTTTCAAAATTTTCCCCAGCCCGAAGTACAGCCCTCTCCCTTCTCACTGAGTCCACTCTGGATGTGCCGCAATGAAAAGGCGGCGTGTTTTGCTGATCTGTTAAATTCTTAGTGAAGTTTCCTTGATTTCCAGTGGCGGCTGTTGTTTGAGTTCGGTTTGGAGCGAAACCGAGGTAGTCCTGACACTTCCGGGACTGAAGCCAGACAAGAGGAAGAAGAAAGAGAAGGAGAAGGAAAAGAGGAGAAGAAAAAAAGGTGGGGAGAAATAAAGGGAGGAGAGAAGTATAGGAAAAGGGGGTGGGGGAGTCCTTTTCAACATTGCATTCCTGTGTTTTCCCTCAGCCTGGAAAACATATTAATCCCAGTGCTTTTACGCCTGGAAACAAAGGGACTGAGCCAGACTGTGGGGGAAAGGGTGATAAGAAGGATCCCGGAACTCTAAAGAGGGATCGAGTGAGATTCAGAGATCACTAAGACTCCACTTTAAGGGACGTCCTGTGTCGCCACAAGAGACGGGCACTCGCAGACACACAGGACCAAGGAGAAACTGCGGGCAAATGGAGATACAAAGACTTACAAGGACAGCTCCTTTCTCCTCATCCCACTTGTCCAGAAGGTAAAAAGACGCAGCCAGAAAGGAAAGGAGTCAGACCAGGAGGAAGACAGGCTGCGATCCGTGGTGATACTTTGCAGGCTGGAACGGCAGCACACCCCTTTTGTATTGTTCACCCTCGACAAGCCGAGAGAGGGTGGGGAGGAAAAGTATTTCATCTAGGAAACTGTCCTGGGGACCAAACTTCAGCTTTCCTTTGAAATCCTCTGCATTCCATCTCTATGAGCCACGATGTAAGTGTGTGATCTTTTCTGTTTTTGGTGTGTTTGTTTGTTACTTTGTTGCTTATTTGAAGAAAGGAATTGTGAATGTTGTCATAATTAATATGTTCAGTTTGCATTTTTTTTTTCTGGAGCATCCAGTTAGTGGAAACACAGCAAGCACACTAACCGGGGAACTAAGTTGGATTTCCTGCTTAATGGAACTGTTTCTATTAAGCACTGACAAATTTCAAGGACTTAAAAGCAACAGAATCTCATCCTATCTTCCATTCTCTGACCTCCCTCCTTTTTCTTCTCCAACTACCCCTCCCCCATCCCCTTGACCAAGATAGAGAAAGAGATAATGACCTGCTCTGTTTGCAATTAAATGATTTTCTTTCTTTTTCCTCCCCTCCCCTTTCTGTCTCATGACCCCTCTGCAACCCAAAGTGGATGACACAATGAAGTCAAGACTGGGACCCTGTTTCACCATGCTGTTGGCAATGTGGCTGGTGTGTGGATCAGAACCCCACCTCCCTGCCATGAATAGAGGGACCCATGGAGGGCGGAAGGTGCCTTTGCTTTCCTCAGTCAATAGCAGGCCAGCTCGGTTTCTGAGGCACACAGGGAGGTCTCGTGGAACAGAGAGATCTACCCTTGAAGAACCAAACCTTCAGCCTCTCCAAAGAAGAAGGAGTGTGCCAGTGTTGAGACTAGCTCGCCCGACGGTGCTACCAGCCCCCGTGGGCATCAAAGGGGCCCCTGTGAAACCTGAGCTGAGACCCAAGGCCAGGGGCTCCCCTGGTGAGATGGTCCGAGATGAGGGGTCCTCTGCTCGGTCAAGAATGCTGCGCTTCCCCTCTGGGTCCAGCTCTCCCAACATCCTCGCCAGCTTTGCTGGGAAGAACAGGGTGTGGGTCATCTCGGCCCCCCATGCCTCAGAAGGCTACTACCGCCTTATGATGAGTCTCCTGAAGGATGACGTGTACTGTGAGCTGGCCGAGAGGCACATCCAACAGATTGTGCTGTTCCACCAGGCAGGCGAGGAAGGGGGCAAGGTGCGAAGGATCACCAGTGAGGGCCAGATCCTGGAGCAGCCCTTGGACCCCAGCCTCATCCCCAAGCTGATGAGCTTCCTCAAGTTAGAGAAGGGCAAGTTTGGCATGGTGCTCCTGAAGAAGACACTGCAGGTGGAGGAGCGCTACCCTTATCCAGTCAGGCTGGAGGCCATGTACGAGGTCATCGACCAAGGTCCCATCAGAAAGATAGAGAAGATCAGACAGAAGGGTTTTGTCCAAAAGTGTAAAGCCTCTGGTATAGAGGGCCAGGTGGTAGAGGAGGGGAACAATGGTGGTGGAGGAGCAGGAAGGCCAAACCTGGGCACTGAGAAGAAGAGAGAGGACTCAAGGAGAGTACAAGTCCCCCCAACCAGAGACACTCGGGTGAAGGTGATGAGAAAGCCGGCCACTACCACGATGGCTCCTCCCCCACCACCTCCAACCCCAAGGGCCACCACTCTTCCTCCTGCTCCACCCACAACAGCCACACGGGCCACACCCCGAGTGGTAACAGTAGCCACGAGACCTACGACCACCACTGCTTTTCCAACCACCCAGAGGCCTTGGACACCCAGGGTGCACCCCTCCTCAACCTCCCCCAGACTCTCAGGCTCAGTTGAGTTGACCACAGCCCGGGGCTCCTCAGTCTCAGAGAATCTCTACCCTCCACCCAGGAAGGAGCAGCAGAGGGAGAGGCTACAGACCACCAGGAGGCCCAGCAAGGCCACCAGCTTCGAGAGCTTCACTGCCAGCCCTCCCACCACCATCTCAGAGCCCAGCACGAGGGCTGCAGGCCTGGGCCGTTTCCGAGACAACCACACAGACAGGCGAGAACATGGCCATCGGGACCCAAACGTGGTGCCAGGTCCTCACAAGACAGTCAAGACAAAGTCGCCTAAAAAGAAGACCCAGGACAAAATTCTTAGCAATGAGTATGAGGATAAATATGACCTCGGCCGGCCCACTGCCTCACAGCTGGAGGAGGAGCTGCAGGTGGGAAATATTCCCTCCCAGAGCTCAAAGGAGTCTAGAAAACATGAAAAGCTTGAGAAACCTGAGAAGGAGAAGAAAAAGAAAGTGAAGAATGAGAAACCAGACAAGTTACTCAAGAATGAAAAGCAAATGAAGAAGACTGAGAAAAAGAGCAAACAGGAGAAAGAGAAGAGCAAGAAGAAGAAAGCAGGTAAAACAGAGCAGGATGGCTATCAGAAACCCACCTCGAAACATCCCCCGCAGAGCCCCAAGAAGTCAGTGGCTGACCTGCTGGGGTCCTTCGAAGGCAAACGAAGGCTCCTTGTAAGTAACATCTTTGGCATTATTTTGTGGGCTGAGGCAGGCCACATTCATGTTTGTCATATTAGTTTTGTAAAGTCACATTGCTAAGTGCCAGACTGTGACTGAACCCCTAGGATGTCAGGAAGCTCAGGCAAGAAAGAACAGCCAGGCAATAGTAGCTCCCTTTGGTTCAGATGCTCTGTGAACATCTATCCACACAGCACACACTCCTATAATACAGACTCCATGGATGGAGGACCCTAGACTTGAATCCAGGAAAGCACTGTAGCACTGTAGTCAGCTTCTTCCAAACAGGAAGGAGCAGCAGAGGGAGAGGCCACCATCCTTCCTGCTCTCTTTCAAAGTACCCCCCCATCCTTCCTGCTCTCTTTCAAACCCTGTTTCTGGACCATCTCTCTTTTATGGAGTTCAAAGAAGGATGAAGGAGTTCCCCAAGTGGAATGCTTTGACTCTAGTCACAACTCAAGAAAGGCATTTCTCTCTGCTAGAACCTAGGAACTAGGAGCATAGGTAACATTCCTCCCTAATTAGGTCTGTAGCAATATTGGAAGTCTCCAAGGGGGGGGGGGAGGGTAAGGCAGCCTGTGTGGAGAGTGGGTTTGATTGGGAATAAGGGTCCTGGTTGTTAGGATCCTCACCCATGCTTTTATAACTAGCTAGCAGAAATCTTCTACCCATAAAGGCTGCATGCTCCATCACTGCCTGACTGACTCTCAGAGCAACAGGGATGGAATGTGGGGAACTGGGTTAATTGCTCCACTCTGTAGTACATTAGAGATGCATCTGAATTTGAAATACAGATGAAGTACAGATGAATTTGAAGTTAAGCTGTATAAAGTATAAAGTGTGCACCCACGCATGCGTGTGTGTGTGTGTACACCCAGGTGTGTGAACTTGTGTGCAAAAGAGAGACTGTCAGTTTCCTACTTCTCCTTTGCCTGTGATTCTGTCACTAGTGTGGAGTGAGCCACAGATTCATCTCAGTAACCCTGTCTTTTGGCCATTACTTGTCACTACTATCCAGAGGATGAAAACAGAATTCAGTTAGATCAAAGGAATGCTTTTACAGGAGTAAATCCATCCTGAAAATAAGGGCAGGTCTCACCTGCAATGTGAAAATGGCTCCTTCTCTTCTTCATGTCTCCTCCCAAGATTTCTACCCTGGGCTTCTTAATGCCATTGTTTACGTTACAATTAATTCAGAGTAAAAGATAAATGAACTGATGTTGGGTAGTGTGGGTCAGGGATGCTTTTCTCAGATACCTGGTGAGGGAGGCATCTTATGCCATCGTGATAGTGCCCATTCTACTATACTCCACTCACTACATTCACACTGCAAAGTGATAAGCACTCTTTTTCCAAGGTGTTTCTTGAAGAAGCGTCTTTTAATTTTTCCAGTCTGGCCTAAATTTAGATTAATGATCTGGGAAGAGGGACTCTGATGCTCATTTATCTTAAGTGGTTTCAAAAAGCTTAAATCCACATTTGAAATGTTATTCAGAGCAGAAGTTCTTGTGGTGCTTATCCTGAGTAGAACATGTCCCCCATTCCCTTGCCTGTTCCATTGACAGTGGAACTATGGATTAGAACAAAGCCTAAGCTCTGATTCATTCTAAAGGGTGTGGGTAGCGGGCTGGCTGTGGATGTGTTTATGTCTTATTATGTACTTTTTATGTTACTACATTTTTTAAACAGAGCTTTACAGTGACAAACAAATGTAGGTTATTAGACAATAGACTATCTGTTAGAGAGTTTAACACGTGCTTGAATAATCCCAGAGTCTATATAAACTCAAATGGGAATTTTTCAGTTAGAATCACTGACTTCAGAGTAGAACTCTATCTGGTACTTGGATGTTTATTAGGGGACCATGGGGGCAAGCTGCTCCCTGGACCGTGGGAAAGTATTAGTGGTGTGCTCCATGGTCTCCTCCCGAGTACCTGGGACTTTGTCCAGCCCATAAAGCACATCACCCAACTCTGTCCATTGAGCCAACAAGGAGGCAAAGTGTTCTCATAGTCAGGTTTTAACCAACAAAAAGTAATCATGGGTAAAATGTCAGGATTGTTATTGTGCACCCATCTGGCAAATACTTCCATTGCCTCTAGGTTGTGAGTCAAAAGAAAGGGGTTTTCATACTGTATTCCTGATCCTAGTCATGCTCTTGATTTCTCCCTCCTTTCCTTCACTCCCTCAGTCAGAGATCTGAAAGCCCAGCTGGGTATTTTCTGCTTTTAACAGTATCCTTGGTCATAAATTTCTAGCAAATTAAACTCAAAGGACAGCTTCTGCTGATGTCATGTGAGGCAGAACAGAAACCAGCTGGAATTGCTCCTGGCAGCACTGGCTCTTTGGAACTAGCAAGAGAATCCGATTTGTTATTAGAAAGAAAATACCAACAGGAGGCATTTTAGTCTTTCAACTCTGTGTATGCTTAGCTGATAATCATATCACAAATGTACTTTTTGAAAGGCTAATGATGTATGAAGTAAGAGTGAATTAGAAAAGGCCAGATGAAATTAACATGATAAAAAAAGAAGAAGAAGAAGAAGAAGAGTTTCACCAGACAGGGAGGAGACCAGTGTTTCTGGATGAAACATCATTAATAGTACCATTAATCCTTTTTCCACTCATTTTTTCCACCAAACTCTGCTGATGTTATTCAGGAAGCTTGGTGATTCAATTAATATTCATTAAGGCTTAGCACTCTCAAGCAGTTCAAATACAGCTGAGAACATTTATGTCTAACTGGCCTCAACTTAACCTAGTGTGCTCAAACAGAAAGCAGGTCTGCATTCCAAGAAATAGCTCAGGCCTCTCCCCTCATCTTTTCCACTTTTCAGTAATTTGATACCTAACTATAATTTATTGTGAAAACCTAGTGCTTTGTATTCTTTTATACCATTCTTCAGATGTGAAAACACCACGTAACTCTTCCTTACTAATTACTTAGAAAAACACTGGTAGTGACAGTGTAGGTCATGGTTGGGCAATGGCATCCCAGAGGCCTTTAAGGGCATTGCGGGTGGAGCCAGAAGTCCCATGCTTAGGCCATAAGTTAGCCCTTCAAACCTTCTGCTTCTCAGTCTGTCAGCAGAGAAGGGTGTGTCCTGCGGGATGCTTTGTAATTTAATTCTGTGTAGTTTAATTCTCCTAGCAATCCCATGAGGAACTATGTATCAGTCCCATTTTATAGATAGGAATATAGAAGCTGAGAGAGGTTGAGAGGTTACCCAAGGTGGATAGCGAATGTGTAGCAAAGCCCAAATTATATTTGCTTGATTTTAAAGTTCAAGCTCCAATCATGCCCATTCAGTTTGAGCTTCTCATAGCAGATAGAAGGGGAAACCAAAGAATGATGCTGTTTGCTAATAAATATGAACATTTAAAGCTTAATTTTGACACTTGAGTTACCCAGATAAGTGGTAAGGTGTAGAAATGGTTGCATTTTGTGCCAAGCACAAATGCAGAGTTTCTGTCCTTAATACCCAGATACTTCTCTGTATCTCACCACTGGCTTTCCAGCAGTCAATCAAGAACAGTAGAATTCTAGTTGATCTAATCCTTCAGACTGTTTGGGATCAATTATAGTGAGAGTGTAGGTTAACTGTTTATCACTAAGACAGTGGACTTAGATAGAGGACAGCTGACAAGCCATCATTGAATACTCTGAGATCTACATACTTATCAGTTAAACAAAGGGCCTCAATATGCTGAACTGCATAAATTCAAATGCAAACTTAAGCTTTCTTTGGCAACCGAGTCTCCTGTAACTCAAGTGAGTTAATATTTTCAACCCTACTTCAGAGATCCAAATATTGGAATGACAACCTGCTTATTTAGTTTAATATTAGAAAAGAATTTAAGGCTCTGCTTTAAAAGAGACTACTAGCTTACAAGTTATTTTTCATAATCCTGTAAAACTTTAGTGTTTCGAGTCTAACGATATTTAGAATATTCTGAGACTTAAAATATCTTCCCCTGGCATCTTCCCATTCCTGTTTGTTGCCTTTACATACACAAACAAGCTTCCTTCTCGCCCAAGGCTCTTGGAGCCAACATTACCAGTTGGAACGGAAACATGAATAAGAACCACATCACAATTTTGAATTCATGATATATGCCCTGATTTATTGCTACCAAACAGGAAAGAGGCCAAGTGACAGATAAAAATGTTTACTGAGGAGTTCTAGGATGCTCTTTTTAGGAAGGAGAGACTGGAAATGGTTTTCATTACAAATACTGTTTGAAATACTGCCAAACTAGAAAATGAATGTAATGGAGATGTTAATACATAGGGGGAAAGTCCTTGAAATGTGTCAGATGATCTGTCTCTATTTGCCCTGGGCAAGTTGGAGGAGCACATTAAATGTAAGGAAGAAGGTCTTTCCAATTGGTTTGTGGGCAGCATCTAGATATTCATAACCAGGAACCCCTGTGTTCCTGAGTCCCTCCCTTCTCTAACTGGAGTCATCTCTGTAGCCTGAGGAACATGGGCCAGTGTTTACTTCTCCATCTGAAGGACAGGAACAGGTCTGAGGTTCAGCACCTGAGGAACTTAATATCAACATAGAAGATAATAGTAAATAAAAGAAGTGGAAAAAATTCCATGAGAACTGTACAGACAACCAGAAGAGTAATTATGAGGAGAAAGTGACTGAGATAAGGTACTGGGGGTAGGCCTACATGGTGGGAGAGGTGACAAGGGGCAAAGAGAGGAAGGAATGTGGGTGAATATGAGAGGCCATAGACAAGCCTATATTGCCCAATTTTTACAACTTATGAGGTTGGCACAGATGTTGTTCCATTATAAAGATGACAAAGCTGAGGTTTATAAGATTAAGTGGCCTTGTTGAGGCTACAGGCAACTTGCGGTGGGGATGGGGCGTATTGAACCAGGATAAAAACACCAGCCCTCCAACTTTTATTGCACTTTCTCTGCGCCACTCTGCCCAAGGCTCCTTTCGTTTCTTAGTTTAGACTGGTCTGTCTCTGGAGGGGAAAAAGGTCATGTCAGGGAGCAATTGGAGGAGGATTAACAAGACAGAGTCCAGGGCCAAATCCTGGAGGGCTGGAAACCAGAAATTGAGTCATGCAAAATGAATGTCACCTCACAGGAAGGTGAAAGCATGTTTGAGCAAAGGTTTGAGATACAAATAAGCCTCAGGGAGTTCTATGTATTTGAGATTCCCACTGGATATCTAAGGCTTGACGCTACTGTGTGCAGAGCGCTGTGGGAGAAGCTGTTAACACAGGGGAGGAGGAGGTTCTCTATGATTACATATCATCTGAAATTCTTAATTATACACACCCAGTGGTAGGAGAGGACTAGAGGAGGCTTCAAGAACTCTTAAACTCCTGTCATCTCAAGGTCTGTCTGTGGGTTACAAGGATCCATGGTGAAGTTTGAGAAAATAAAATGAAGTCTGTATGTGGATTTGAAGTTAAAAAGGCAAGTAATCATCAGTCACCTAGCATCTGGGCAGCTGTGCTTAGAAACTCCTCTAACATATTCTAAGTATGGGCTTATCAAGTTAAGGATAGGGGATCCAAAATCATTAACAGAAATCTCTTTCTCTTACCTTTGAATTCATTGTTTGATGTTTTTACTTAACCATTCATTCTCTTCACTTCAAAATAGTGTATTGAATGGGCAATGAGGCAGAAAGGAAAACTTGAAATATGTCAAGTTAAAATAGAACTCCAATCTTTAGGCTGTCATCTCAAATCTCACGTAGTTAATTAAAAACCAACCAACCAAAAATACCAGCACCACATCTTTTTAGAGCTACCCTAAATCCTTTTGTTGTTGTTGTTTGTTTGTTTTCTTTTCTTTTTGGCTGAGTGTGAATTAATGAATAATTTGGAGAAAATTTTATTATTTTTTCCCCTTGGGATATTACCTTCCTAAGACAAATATTTCTTAGCTATCATGTCCATCTGAACAGGCATATAATCACAAAATCAAACATGAACATCATCATGTCAATGTAAAATAAATAACAATCTGAGAAAGAAAAAAGTCAAAAAACTTCATCCCAGGAAACCTTTGTTAATGTTCCACTCAAAGGCCATTAAACACATTTTAATTTCCTTGATCGAGAATATTTTTGTCAGGCATAAAGAACTCATACCAGAGAAAGCTTGCAGACAGCAATAAACACATCTGACAGAGAAAACTAAACAGCAAGATCAAGTTGGGACCAAGTTTATTGACCACTTTTGATAAAATATTTGGAGAGGTTAACAACATAGTGACTTCTCCTGGGAAAAATGCAAAGCAAATAGCCACAAACTTCAGAAATAGTTTGTAAGGTTAGGTGGGTAAATAGAAAAGTGGGTGATAAATTTGAATGTGGTCAAATGCAAGAAATTGTTTACAGAAATAAAATTATTGAGGCTTACCTCTGAGCTAGGTGATGAGTCAACAAAGAGTGAATAAATGGTGTTCACTGCAGATATTAGCCTGATGAGCTATTTGGGGTCAAGAAGATCCACAAGGACTTGGTCATCATCAGAATAAAATTTCACATCCTTTCCCCTCCAGGGGAACAGCATCATGCCTGCCCATTGAGGGAGTGTGGAAAATGGTTCTGGTTTCTGCTCAGGAAAACCTGGTAAAACTGGAGAATGCTCAGAGAAGGCAATTAAAATAAGGAAGTAGAGAAGCTTTTATGTTAAGTTAGATAAAAACATTGAGACTTTCTTAGAGAGTTCAAGAGGACCTTTAAAAAAAATAGAGGTATCCTCATTTGAACCAAAATAATGAAGTACAGTTTCTCAGATTGCTGGTGACTATAGTGTCTCTTTTGATGGCTCTTTCTTTCTAATTTTCTCCCTAAAGAAGGCAGGGACCACAAAGAGGGAATGAAAGGGGGCTAGGTGAAAAAAAAATTCCCAGTTCTCAATGGTAGGGAGGGCTAAATTAAAAGAGTTAAAGCCCTGCTATTGGGGAACTCCAATATCAAAAGAAATTCACCATGAGTTCTGTGCAGGCAAAAGGTGACAATAAATATGATGTCTGTGACAAAATGTAGGCCAAAAGATCATCATCAAAACATTCTACAAGGTTGCCTAATAAAAAATTTTAAACCATAGAAAGGCCTGGCTATCAAACTCTCTCATTTCTGTGGAATGTGAAAACACATAAACACTGAAATAACCCATGTCTGATTAGCCAATTAGGATAATAAGGATCAAAATAAGGGAAGGGAGATAACACCGGTCGAACAAGTATTGCATGCCAAATGTTTTACGTATTATCCAACAGCCTTGCAAAATAAGTATTTCTGTGCAGAGTTCACAAATGAGAAAACAGAGGCACAAAGAGTAATGAAAGAAACTAACTGAAGTGTGTAGAAAACTCTAAGCTGTCTGGAGTCATTAAAAAATAGAAAAAAGAGAGAGAGAGAGAGCCCTACTCAGTGGCCTCCTTTGGCTTTAATTATGCTAAGTGTCCAACACAATAGTCTGTAGTTTTGGTGTTAGTTATTATCTGCCAGCTATTCCAAATCGTCTCTAAAGATTTTGCCGCAGTTTGAGCCTGACACTATAAATTACTGTGTACTTCTCCTCACCCACCTCCAGCTGATCACTGCTCCCAAGGCTGAGAACAACATGTATGTGCAGCAGCGTGATGAATACCTGGAGAGTTTCTGCAAGATGGCCACCAGGAAGATCTCCGTCATTACCATCTTCGGCCCCATCAACAACAGCACCATGAAAATTGACCATTTCCAGCTAGGTTGTCTTAAACATTTTCATTGTATAATCGTTTTTCTTGTATTTAAGGTGGGACAAACATTGTGGGAGAGGTCCTCGGGGATCAAAATGAACATTTAGATGTCTGGAGGGCCCTTTGATTATGGTAACAGGTCTGTCCACATAGCCCTTCCAGGAGGGTCTGGTGTAAGTTTTCAGTGCTTTAAAATGAAAAACATGCAAGCACTCTATCATTCTCTGACTGTCAGTAAGGTGGAGGAAAATGAGAAAAGCAGTGCAGTGTGGAGAGGATAGAGAGATACTCAGCCCCATCCCCTGCATTCTGAGACTTCTTGCCCATGAGCAGCACCATCTGATCTGATCTGCCTGCAAGCTTTATGCTGTGGGTGACTCATCACAGATGGGGACCTGCCAGACCCCTGGAAGTACTTGACTCTGGCAAGCCTGAGGATGGAATTAACCAGAGTCGAGAGAAGCTATTAAGCTAAATGAAAAGTCACCAAAAATATGGACTGAACTGTGCCCAAGTCCTTTTGGAGACCAGAAGAATTTGGCTGAATTTAGAGTTTTCACAATTTTTCATATTAATGATACATGTGAGACTTGGGAGGTGTACAGCTCAGCTTTGGGCAGCTCAGAACTAACTCTCTGCAGTTCTCATGGGGATGTTGCAAGACTGACTATGATTAGGTAAGCCTCACAGCCAGAAGTTCAAACTCTAACCCACCCAATTTCTCTAACAATTACTGTATCTCTAAAACTTTTTTTAAAAAGACTGTTTTTTACATTTATTTTCTACTTTTGCTATTATTGTTGTTTGACTATAATGGAAATCCTCATATTACATAATCCTTCATACTACTCACTTACATATTCTGCATAGTTTTCATAAAATATGTCATCTGATATATAAAAATATTTTCCCTATTAACATTTAAATTTAGTACATATAACACATTATCTCACAGATTATTCTGACATGTGATCTTAGTACAAATGGACATGTCAGTTATAATTATGTCAAGATAATTCCAATTTGATTTGATTATGGTCTAGTTTTCAAAATTACATATTTTTATTGTGGTAAGAACACTTCACATATCTACTCCCTTGACAAGCTTTTAAGTTCAAAATATTGTATTGTTCTCTACAGGCATAATCTTGTACAGTGGATCTCTAGAACTTATATAGGCATTAATTTTCAATTATTAATTCTCTACTTTCATTACCTAACTTCCCCAGAGATGACTCAAGAATAAATAGCATCTTTTCCAATGTCCCATAATAAATCATGGTGCCTTAGTGATTTGTGGATATTTATCCCTGTTCAGTGCATATGTTTCAGAAGAGAAACCAAAATGAGAATTAAAAAAGACTGGCCTTAATCAAAACAACAGTAACAACAATTATCATAAAAACAAAAGATGCAAAAGAAGGAGTTCTAAAGGCAAACAAAATCAAATTCAGAGTTACAACTTATTTGTTGTGTGACCTCTGGCAAGTTACTTCTTGTCTTAGCTAAGAAGACAATCATATCTACTTCCAGGCTATGGTGAGTACTAAATAGGATAATGTACACAAAACCTGTCCAGTAATAATCACCATGATGTGGTCATCATCATCACCACCATTGATCTGTCAGTTAGCTAGAGACTAGTGAGAAGTCACAGTTGTCACGGATGCACCTATAATTGCAAAATAATTGTAATTGCTTACTACTAATTATAGAGTGTTGACACATGAATCCTCACAACTTCTCTTTAGGGTCAGACATCATTAGTACTCTTGGTGATAAAAGTGAAGCCCAAGAGACTAATACTGTAAAGCTACATATTTAGTGGCTAACAGGGATTCAACCATTTGTTTCCTGGAGTTCACAAAGTAGCATGAGCCAGTGGACTTAGTTATACTCCAGATGTCTAGAGAGGAAGTCAGTATTCCATCCAGTACAGAGCCTGGTGCTGGCTGCTGATGAAAGCCTTTCTCCAACCAGGTGTTCCCAGTGTCAAATGTGCTACCCACCAAGTCTGTGACAGTGTTCCCATCCCTTATTTCAGAGTTTGGAAAAGTAATTATATCTTCCACTTCAGCAGCTGTATGGTCTTTATATAAGCACCTGGTGCTGCCTTGGCAAATTTTTAGCATAATCCTGCCGTTTTCTAGACATCTGGATTGAATACAAATTGCAGGAGGGCTAAGGTTTTCTTTTCTGACTTATTGGAATGCAGGTGTTGTGACTTGGGTATTTGCCTCACTAAATGGCAGCCTGGACCTGATCTGGAGTGGGCAGGGGCTTTATTTTGTTCTTCATCTAATTCCTGGAAGGCCTTTCTCTCCTCATGTTGTGTCCCAGGTTACCCTTATGGGAAAGTCAGCAGCACTTTCAGCCAAGACTGGGAGTCAGCCATGGGAAAATAAGAACTGGCATGAGCCCTGGTCTCTGTGAACCGAACCCCAGCCTTGTCCGACTTTTAGCTGGAAATCTATCCAGTGGCCTTACTTCTCCTTGAAAATAAATCAAGCACTCCCTACTTTTCCATACTTTTACTGAGCCTTTTAAGCAGACGCCTACATCCAATTGCAGTGTAGGCTGTACTCACCAGCTGGTCTGTCTTGCCAAATGTAATCGTACTATCTATACTGGACCTACAAACGTCAGGAAACTTACCTTAAGATTTCAAGCTTTCCTCTAAAGAAAGCTATTTATGCTTTATCAAATTCCAATGCCCATCTGGTTTTACCAGCATGGAGTATATATGAGAGCTTAAAATGGCCTAACACATAAAGGTATTCTTTATCATTAGTGGTATTTAAAATGTCAGTCTAGGGTAAGAATATCAGAGTGTATGCTACATGGGTGGATCATAAACAAACTACAGATAGAAAAAAGGTGCTAGTTAAAAGTACTTTATTGAAGAATTTAAGTGGGCAGCAGGGATACAGCAAGTAGGGGTTTTATTTTATTTTTGTTCCCCTAGCAAAATATAGAGAAAAAAAATATTTGGACATTGGTATTTAATCACCAAATTTTAAAGATTGTAATACAAGACATTTTGCAGGAAAAAGGAAATTTTTGATAGCTTCTTCTGAAGAAAGGAGAGTTTGAGGGTAATTGATAAAAAAAAAATGAGGTGGAAAGTTGATGGGGGTGGAATATAACAAGAAGGGCTGAAGTATTGATTCCTTACTTATATGAGCAAGGAATTTGTAGATAAATTTTTTAAAAATTATAAATAAGAATGGTAGAATGCATTTCAGACTAAAATACCCTTTTGTCTTTGATCCTGTTGGAAAGAATTATTCTTTATGGAGCAGCTTCATAGTTAGCAGGATTCACAACAATCCACAAATACTGCTTTCCCTCTGAGGAAGTCCTGAAAGACTGATGCTTGGCCTCAACTCCACCTTTCATCAGTGATGACAGAGCCTGGCAGCTGCCTTCTTTAGCCCCATCACCCTGAGGTGGGAGGAAAGGCTGATGCGTGCTCAGATTTCCATACACAGGCTGGTGTCTGCCATTGTGTTTATTCAGTCTTTGATTATCAATCACTCTGGGCCCCAGGGTTGAAAGCCTTTCTCCTAACCTGTTCAGTTATCTGTTTTGAACCCAGACCAGGGCCCTTTCTGCCTCTGAAGTGCCTAAGTCAAACACACAAAACAAGTGTTTGAAGACTGTGCTGGAGGGTGCAGGTCTTTGATTGCAGTCATCAGAGAAGATTTTACAAATGTCAGAGAATTTTGAACAGTGGGTTGATTTAATGCAGGAACCTTGAAAAATGTATAGGTCTTTTGAATAGATGATGATTCTATCAGGGTATTTTTGCTTTTTGCTTAACTTTTTTAAAAAAACGATACATTTTCTGGATTCCAAAGTCAAAAATATATGAAAGGTATATACAAGCCAGATGTAGAGGCACACACTTGTAATTCCAGTGACTCAGGAAGCTGAGGCAGGAGGATATTAAGTTTGAAGCTAGCCTCAGCAAGTCCCTAAGTAACTTAGACCCTGTCTCAAAAAATAGAAAGGACTGGGCATGTAACTCTTTATTGATAAAAATGGGGAGGGAGGGGGTGGTTAAATTCAGTGATAAAGATCCCCTGAATTCAATCCCCTCCATCCAAAAAAAAAGGTATACACAGACAAGGTATATACAGACAAGTCTTAAATCTACTCCTGATCCCTTTGCCCTGTTATTTACTGCCCCCTATAGGGAATCATATTTGTGATTCCTTGTTTATTCATTTAGTGCTTCTTTATTCAAATACAGGTAAGTAACCAGGGGCCTCACATGTGCTAAGCAAGCGCTCTACTACTGAGCCACAACCCCAGCCACTATTGATGTATTTTTATAATAGAATCTAAGAAATAGAATTATTGAACCAAACAGCAGTTATATCTAGTTTTGGTGGTACTTCTAGATTTTTCTCCATACAAGTAGTATTATTTTGCAGTCCCACCAGCAATGCATAGGAGCACCTATTTCCCAAACCACTCCAATTAAGTGTGTGTTCAAATTTTTGGATATTTTGAGCAATGTGCTATGTGGAAAATTGTATCAGTTGAGGAAAGAGTTTGAATTTTCTTTTTATGAGTATGTTTGCAAATTGTTTCATGTGTTTAAGAAGCATTTGTCGTCGTCGTCCTCCTCCTCCTCCTCCTCCTCCTCCTCCTCCTCCTGTCTTTGCCCATTTTTTTTAGTTTAGGGATGGGGCCCAGGCATCTATATCTTTGAAATGTTGTTCAGGTGACTCTGATTTGTACCTAGGTTTGATCTAGAGCATAATGTTAGATGTAGGAGGGGAGAAGAACCAAGAACTAGAAATGTGGTTTGGCATCCAATCTCAGCAGATTTCAAATACCAGGACAAAGGATTCAAGCTTTATTTGGCACATCATGTGAAAACTCTAAAGATTTCTGATTATATTTTTCAAATAAATTTTAAATAACTCTTCAGGTTTTAGTGGAGTTAGACTGCAAGACAGAAAAACTCCTGGGTAGGAGGATAAGTTTTTCATTGAGAG